TGCTCATGGCCTAGCCCCTCACACAATCCACCTGAACTGGAATCAAGAAGCCTAGGGAGTCCCCAGCGCCTCAGGTGAAGGAGATGGTCTGATGTGTGAACTTTAAGGCTGTCACAGCTCATCAGGCACCTTTATTCACACACATGCCTGCCTGTCGGATTTTCTTGCCAACAGCCGACCACCTCTTCCTCGTCAGAGCACTTCAGAGGAACCTGCACACCCTTATCTTCAAAACCACCAGGGGCTGCCTGGCACGGAGAAGGAAGGGCCTGTGGGCCAGGCTTGTCAGTCCCTTATGAGGACACCCATTTAGACCGGCAAGGAAACCCACTGTATGCACCTTATTTTGCTATTATTAAGAAAAATCCTCTTTAGGTCTTTCTTGGTTGCTAACAGTAAAATCCAATGAAACTCAAGAAAAGAAATTTTAGGCTGGAGTTTCATAATTAACCAAATAAAAACTGTGAGTTTCATAATTAACCAAAGAAATCTAAAGAAAGAAATGAAATGTCTGCTCCCTTGCAGCTGTGCAGGAAGGAGAGTCACTCTGCATCCATAAAACTGATTAAAAGAACTTGATTTCATAAGACCCTAAACAGACGACTTTCACAAGGATGTTCCATCTTTATGCCACATGGATGTGTGAATATTCACAACAGTAACCAAGTGGGTATGTTTTTTTGTGAAAAAAAAAAAAAAAAACATGTCTTTTGAACAAAGGAGTCTGATAAGACTCCCAAGCCTTTAGAAATTATTGCCATGAACAGTGAACATAACCCCCAACCCATTGCCTCACAATTCTGATCTGTTGTCTCACCAGATAATTTATTTCTCCAGTTATAATGCTATAACTGATATCTCTGTATTCCCGAGAGATCTTTTACTTGTAAAAATGTCTGTCAATCAGAAAAAACAAGCATTGGCTCTTTGCTCTTCTCTCACATGCACAGTGGAACAATTAGAGGCTTATGGCTTACCTAGGTTTAACAAATCATCTGAGATGAAAGTCGGCTTCGTATAAATTAATAGGCCCAAGGTTCACAGCATCGATCTCATGGAATTCTGATTGCCTATTTACTGTCACGCTCTCACTAGGCTGTGATCCCCTCAGTGACAGGGACCAAGTAATGGAGTCAAGCCTCTCTCCTGCTCAGTATGTTCCCAGTGCCTGGCATGCGAGGGGCAAACAGGTGGCCGGCACAGCTATTTTGTCCCCTCCTCCCTGGGCCACCATGGACAGTCATTCCCAGTGCTCTCTCCCCTGAGTCCCAGTTTAGCTTCAGAATCCCGGACCCAGTGCCTGAGACAGCTGGTACCAAACAGGTGGAATTGGGACATAAAATAAGACCTACTTGTTGTCCCTGGGTGCTCCTTGGCACCCCCCAAAAAAACAGTATAAGATGAAGAATGAGTGAGAAGGGGACTGAAATCCTGGCACTTGAGATGAGGACTTCCTCCCTCCTCCCCATCTAGTCCAGCCACCCAGCCAGGGTGTCGGCATACCGGGTGTGGGCTCGGCAGGCATAGCGGGTCTCTCCCACCTTGGGTCTCTGTCACTCCTAGCTTCACCCAGATCCAGGGCTGATGATGGGTCTACCACCTGCCCCCTGCAGGAGTGCAGAGCCTGCCTCAGAATCACCTTTTGCAGCCCGTGGGCTCTGGAAGGCGGGGAGGCAGCCTGTCTGCCAGTCTCCTGGCCCCAGTGCCTAAACCCAGTCCAGGGTCGCCTCTCCCAGCCCCTGAACCCACCACTGGACCCCAGGAGCTGGAATTTGGGGGTCACCCTTTCCAGGGGCTATGGGGCAATCATATGGGCGCAACTGAGTGAGAGCCCAAAGAGGAGCCTTGGGTGTAAGGAAGAGGTGCTAGGCAAGGCTGTGGAAGGAGATAGGAAAAAAGGGTCCAGTGCGTGGCCCTTTTGTGGCCATATGAAGTGGACAGAATTTCCTGGGAGAAAGACTCACCCCTCTGGAAGCTGATGGTTCTGGCTCAGAGAGTCCCCAGCCTGGGGCAATGAGCACCGCCTAGAACTCTGGAAAGTTGGAGGGTGCCCTAGTCCACAGGGCATCATCCCCCAGTGCGATGGGTAGTCTTTAAGATGACCCCCAATCATCCCTCCTCCTGGTATTCCTTATGACCACTTATGACCCTGTTCTCTTCTCCTCCTTGTGAGGAAATGGATCGCTCTTGCCCATTCAAGCCTTCAGATGAGACTGGAATCCTGACCTACAATGTCAGCTGGATGCTTCCTTAGTGGTCACTGCTAACACCCCCTCTTGCACAGCTGAGGGAGAGGCTCTCAGAGAGGGCTGCCAACCTGCCCAAAGTGCCTTGGACAATTGATAACTGAGACATGACTGGGAGGCACAGTCCCAGGTCCCAGTCACCACAACAGCCTCCCTCCTAGAAGGGGTCTGCCCAGCCATCAGCCCCAGAGGAAAGGGTCTGTGCACCCCAGGCATCAGTGCCTGTGGCCTCAGGAGCAATACTGAGGTTGCTTTCCCCCCATGCTGCAGCCACATCTAAAGCCTTCTAGATGTCACCATTCCATTGATTTGGCCAATATAGGCACTAACTGTGGAATGGTAATAGCAGCTGGTACGGAATGAGGAGGTCCTGTGTGCCAGGCACAGTGCTAAACACTGTACATGGATGAGTTCACTGGTGCTCCCTTCCAGTCAGATCTACTGTCTTCCCCATTTTGTAGCTGAGGAAACAGGCTTACGGTCCACAGCGAGCATCAGAACAGGGACAGAACCCAGGCTCCTGGGTCCAAAGCCCATACTTCTGCTTCCCTCACCACCACCACCCCCTGATGTCACACTGACCGACCCCCTTGCCTTCAGCTGTGACCCCGCTCACCCAGCTGGTCAGCTGCTCAGGGCCCCCACCCATCCTACCGCGGGGCTTGCTGCACCGGCTCTGTACACACTGGGCCTGGTCCTTCAGACCGCAGAACTGGGCCCAGGGGGGCCAGAAGAGGCTCAGCCCTGCCCCAGTCAGCAGCTCCAAGTCCCACAGGAGCTGAAAAAATAATGGGTGCCGGGGCATGAAGGGGTGCCCACTCGGCCCTCTGCCACGTGCCCTGGCCAGCCCCTACCTGCTCCTGGGCCCGCCGGCTCCGTTCCATCTCCAGCAACACAGCGGGCAGCTCCAGTCCTGAGGGACAGGCCTGACTCTCTTGCACCTGGGGGGACAGGATGGAGTCAGGCCTCCGCCTTGCCCTTTGGAGGCAATGCCCCACCTTCCTCACCTGCTGCAGGGCAGCCTGGAGCTGGCCCGGGCCTGCAGGGCATCTAAAGAGGTGCTGGTACAGGGCTAAGGCCTGCCTGTGGCTACACGGGAGCCCTGGGCCCCCAGGTGTGACTGCCTGCTCCATGGGCAGGGGGAGCCAGAGCGGATTCCCCTCCCTCCTCCTCTGCGGCTGGAGCCTGGAGAGGGGAGGACCAGGGATAAGAAGGAGACAAAGCCTCCAGAGCTCAATAATGCAGGGACCTGACATCTGAGCCAGGGCCTGGACCCCAGCCATGTCTCAGAGAGACTCAGGCCTGTCTCTGACACGGGGTTCTTGGCTTCGCACGGCGGGGCAAGGACTGTGACTGTGCCGGAGAGAGAGGTGCTTGTGTGCGCTTGTTTGCAGTCCTGGGAGTATGTGTTTTATGTGTACGTAGGAAGCTTGCAACGGCATTAGCTAGACATTAGCTACACCCCACATGGACAGCAGCCGCCGGCAGCTCACTTACTATATGCGCAGAAACACGATGCTGCGTACATGTCATCTGTCCCTGAAGCCTCTGTGAAGTAGGTGCTAGCATTATCATGCCAATTGTCCAGGTTAGAAACCAGTCCCAGAGGGTAGGGAGCCCCAGCTAGCATATGCCAGTGTCTCCCTCATCTGGAGGCCAGCGGCCGGGATGCACAGGCCTGGGGGAAGCATGGTCCCAGGTCAAGCAGCCACAGGCGGGACAGGGCGAGCACCCCCAGGTGCCTGCTCCAAGTGGCCCACCTGCAAAGGGTTGAGCCACAGGTCACTGTTTACTCCTCTGCATACACAAGGTTCGTCAGGTGAGGGCATGCTTTGTGTAGGTTAGGACAAGGGCAGGACAAGACGTGAGCCGGTCTGTCATCCTCACATTTCCTGCTGCTTTGCCACCGCTCTGTGGGGGACCGGGGCCAGCTCTGCTCCGTGGTCCTCAGCCGGGGCTGAGCTAGCAGGACAGCTGACCTCGGGTCAGCCAGACACTCCCTTCACTTCTGTTGAAACATCAGGGAGCTGGCAATGATAATGCAGCACCCCCCCATCTTTTACCCAAGGCCCCTGAAACACCAAGGTCACAGCCAATAGGTGGCAAAAATAGAGTCCCTTTGAAAAGAGACTTTTTGAAGAAATACTTTTTTTTCTATTTCAGAACCCATATTCCTTCCCCTACAAGGATGTCTCCTGCTCCTGTGTCCATCGAGGGTGTGTGTGGCTATGAATGCACACAGGGGCTCAAGCATGTGCTATACATGTTTACCAGGGTTCCTGAGGGGTGTTAGTGTGAGTGTGTGTGTATGTGTGTGCATATGTGCACATGTCCATATTTCATCATGATCTACTGTATCTCCTGTTCCCCCCTACAAACTTGGGGTCCCTCTGTCACCAGCTCTTAGAGTGGCCCAGGAGGCACCTAGCTCTTGGTATCCCCCAAATCAAGAGGAAAGGGAACGCCATGTGGGGACTGAGCCCCTTCTCTGTTCCTCAGCCCCCACAGGATTCCACACGAATCCAGGGACCAGCATGCAGACCATGGGCCATGCTTGTGATACAGTGTGAGCACAGTGCTGAGACCAAGATACCTGGGTCCTCCTTCCGTCCAGTGCAGGGTTTCCCAGGTAACACCAGGGTATGGCAGGTGAGGGCAGCCTAGGCAGGTGCAAGAAATGAGCAGGATGTAGGGCTCAGTTCCCACAGCTGCCACCATCCCCGCACCAGGAGAAAACACACAGACACACAAGTATGCCTTAGGAGAGACCCCAATTTTACTGCTTCTGACTGAACATAGTGAGGTCTCTGTGGGACACAGGCCCAGGCTCCCGGGGTCTGGGTGGGGCACTCTCTCCATGGTTCTGGCCACGGCGAGAGCTGTTCTCCAAGGGGAGGCTTTTGACCTGATGAGTCCTGGGGTCATCCTGGCTCAGGGTGCCCCCTGGGGCTACTGGCTGGGGCTGGGCAGAGGTGTGGGTGGTCGGTCCCCAGTGAGTTGGACTGGGGGGCAGGCCTCAGGTGAGATACAGTGGGCCTCGTGCTCCACCAGGCCTGCGGGGCACTGGCAGCCGGGAACGCAGGGCCTCACACAGTGGGCTGCCAGCTCCCCCAGGGGGATGTGCTGGTTGAAGCAGGTGCGGGGACAGGGTGGGCCACATTCATCGAACACGAAGCCTCGGTCCAGGGGACAGCCCACCACTGCAAGTGGAGTGGAAGTCAGGGTCACAGGGGCATGCCGGCAGCCCTCCCGGTACCTACCCCATCCAGACCTGAGCCCTCTGTGCCACCCTCTTCCCCAGCATGCGCAGGGCATTGCCCCCTCACCGCAAAGCGTGGGGCCTCGCCAGGCAGGCATCACCCCTGCCTGGCGACAGTGGCTGGCATAGGCTTCCAGGGCGTCACAGAGGCAGGTGTCAGCCAGAGAGCCAGGGCCACAAGCACATAGGTCGTACACGCAGGCGGCAAAGAAGGGCTCTGGCGGCACCACAGCATGGCAGCGACTGAACGGGGAGGACTTGAGCACCCCACAGCGGGCATTGGCCTCACGCCGGGCACGGTAACCTGCTGCCTTGCATGGGTCCACCTCACGGCCCTTGGAACATGGCCGACTAGGTCCAGGCCCTTCTGGGACCTAGGTGGGAAGAGTGACCCTGATGTGACAGCATTCACTGGCAGCTGACCTTTGTGTGCTATGTTCTTCAAAACACTTTCCACCAAATAATTTGGTTTAGCTTCAATCCTCCCCACCCCCCACAAGAATAGCAAAGGAAACACCACCTACTTTCTCTTGTTCCTATTTTACAGATGAATAAGTCAAGGCCCAGAGCAGATGAGTGGCTTATCCAAGGTCACACAGCCAGTGAGTGGCAAAGCAGGACTTGTGGATTTAGACGATGCCTCTTTCAAAGGGCCATCCTGCCTCCCCAGCACAGGCAAGAAGCCCGCAAATCATCCTGAAGCTGCAAAGCCCATCTGTGTCCCCACACTTTCTATACAGAAGGGCTGTTCTAAGACTCACACTCAACTATGCCTCTCTCGGCTACCCAGCTCCTGTGCCACTCACCTGCCAGCTATTCCCAAACGCAGCCTCTGTGGGCAGGAGCAGCCCCTCACGGCCCTGCAGATCATCCTGAGCAAAGCCATTGAAGTTCCCACAGAGCCCACACATCTGGCCATGGTAGGAGCCAGGCACGCTCACCTCCACTTGAGACTGCCCGTCCCACAGCACCTGTGCAGAGAGGCTGGGATTGAGGAATGGGGAAAGGTAGGGACCCCAACCTGGCCCCAAGTGTTGTCAACACACTCCATGCTGTAGGGGAGGAGAATGGGTGGGTAGAGGCTCCCCATGGAAAGGAGGCTGCTCTGGCCAAAGCCAAGTTGGCACATGCTGTGAGTCCTGGGCAAACAGAAGGCATGCCCACAACTCTGGCAGGAGGGCACCTTCTCCCATTGGCATCCCTGAGCTGGGCCCCTGATGAAATGCAACCCTCTTCCAGAGATTCACTTTCTCGTGGGCATTAGGACCTTACAGAGGATAGAGCACAATTAGAGTCCAGATCAGAAATACGGACAAGCCTTATTTTATGAATTTACAAATTGTACTTCTTGCCAAAGGCAGGGTGAAATGTACTCTTTCACATGGGAGTTGGAAGGAATCTCAGAAGTCACCTAGGAGACCTTGGCTGACATCCCCCCCAATCTTTCCCCCTTTTTACCAACGAGAAAACAGGCTCAGAGGGGGTTGGTACTGGCCCGAGTCCCAGTGTGTTGGTGGTGGAACCAAGATTAGAAACTAAGCTCAGAATGCCTTTCATTGCACCCAAGGTGTCTGACCATAATTCCTCTCCTCCCCTCGGAATTCAGCAGAACTTTCTCACCTCCCTGGCCTGATCTGGCCCTGAACCTGGCTGGTATTCCCATTCCCTCTACACAGATCCAGAGGCCTGAGCAGGTCGGAAGCTCCCACGCGCCCCCTGGCCCTGGCTCTGCACCTGGAGCCCGGGCTGGGCATGCAGGATCAAGGTGCGTCTCCGCAGCTCCACGTACAGCAGCGGCTCCAGTAGGAAGGGCAAGGTCACCGGGCGCCCGTCCACCTGGAGGAGGAAGGCAGGAGGAGGGGCGAAGTCGGGACTGTCGAGTGGACAGCGGAGGACCGATGCTCACCGCCGGGTGCTCAGCTCTGCTCACCGTGACCGCTTTGCCCTGCAGCAGCCGCACTGCCACGCCTCCGAGCAGCACCGCCACCTCCTGGGTCCAGGCCACACCCCTCCGGCCCCGGTTATCGTTGGTCACGTGCACGCTGTGGCGTGAGAGGCCCGGGTGCAGCGGTCAGCAGGGCCAGGTGTAGGGAGTTAGGGAGAAGGCGGAGGGGGCTGCGCACCTGAAGTCCCCTCGGCCGCAGTCCTTGGCCAGCACGTAGCTGCAGCTGCCCTGGAAGTGCAGCAGGCGGCCGTCGAAGGTGCGGTAGTGAGGGTCTCCGAAGGCCATGCAGGAGGCGGGGCGCGGCAGGCAGCGGGGGCAGCAGCTGCCGGGACTCAGGGCCGGGGCCTCGTCCTGGCCTCAGCCCAGACCCTGGTCAGACACATCGCGCTCCCCGCCGTGCCCCACGCAGACTCCCCTGGGACCGAGGATCGCCCCGGAGTCTCCCGGGACTCCAGCTTGGCTCCGGGGCTCGGCGCGAGCGGGCTCAGGGCACCTCCTTGTGGCGGCGCCTGGAGCCGCACAGCCCGGTCCCCGTCCGCTCCCCGCGCGGCGGCCACTACCCACGCCCTCACGCCCTGCCTCCTCCCGCCGGGTTTCCCAGGACCGCGCTGCCACGTGCCCCCGCACCCACCGCCCCGACCGCGGCACTCACGGGGCCACAGGAGAGCGGCGGGCAGCGCTGGCTCTGGCAGCGCACGGCGCCGGCCACGCAGGAGCAGGAGGTGCAAACGTCCACGGCCCAGCGCTCCCCCGGGGCCACCGCCCGGCCCTGGTGCTCGCACGACCGGGCGGGGGCTGAGGGGACAGGAGCGGGGTAGGGTCAACTGCCTGTCCCTCGCACTGGGTCTCGCTCGTCCCCAAGTCCCACCGTCTGGCTGGCACCTTGGCATCGGTCACAGCAGCGGCCAGCCTCTCGCACCTTCGCCCAGCCGTGGGGGCAGGAGAGGGCGGGGCACTCCTCCAGGTCGCACTCCACGTGACCCCGCTGAGGACAGATGTTATTGCTCTAGGGACTTTGTGCAGGGCCTGGGGCCCCTGGCCTCATACTTCTCGGGGCCCTCTGGGTCACCTTCTGAGGCAGCAGCCCCTTCTCTCTGCCCCTGCCCAAGAACACCCACTTCATGTTCAAGTGAGGGATGAAAGCCAGCTCTTAGCTCCCTGCCCAGCACAGGGATGCCACTGCCCACTCTCCGGGCTGGGGGGGGGGGGCTTTTTCTAATTATCTCAAATACCCCATATTCACTGGCCCAGTGTCTTGAGACTCCTCCCTTTATCCATCTGTAAGGCCCTCCACCCCACCCCATGCCCGCCTACCACCCAGTTTCACCTGGCAGGTGCAAGTAACACAAGCATTGCTAGGGTCCTGCCAGCTCTCTCCATCTGCCACTCTCCGGCCCTCGGCCTCCACCACACATTCTGAGCAGGGAGAAATGAGGATGGGGGAGCATTGTCTTTCCAGCTGCATCCTCCTCTCTGAAGCTTACCCTGAAGGCCCACCGCAGCCAGGTGCCCACACCATTCTACTAACACCCTGATGGGCATCCAGATGACCTACTAGATGGCAGGCCCTATGCCAGTATTTGGGAAATGGGAAAGGTCCCGAAAGCCCAAAGAGCCAGAGGCTGGAACCTTCCCATGGGCCAGCTGCCACCTCAGGGCAATGCCTGGCCAGTGGGCCTGAAGTCCTTGAGCCCACTGATAAGCCTCACACGAGGCCTTGAGAATCCAGAGGTCATTCCCTGCTTTCCTCTGTTTTCTACACTCCAGTGAACCACTCTTCACTTCTACAAAAGAACGAAGACTGCATTTGGAGTATAGACCCCAGGTCGCCCACTTAGCCTTTGGATGCCACCCTTCCTGTCTATCCCAGGGCTCATGCTAAGAGGATGCAGGTAAGGCTGGCACTCACCTCGGCACTCAGGGCAGCAGCTCCCAGGGAGGGTATGGCGCTCTGATGGGGGACAGCTGAGCTCAGGACAGTCCTGGCGAATGCAGAGCCATGTTAGATCCTGTGGAAGGACATATGAACACCATCGGTAGAGGGAGGGAGCAGGGTGTTGGGAGTAGACTTAGGCAGCTATGATACTCAAGGTAAGTGTGTGGACATCGGGTCCTTGGGGATCCTGGACCTGCCACAGGAGAGGAGTGGCTGCCACCGCCTATGAGGGAGGAAGACAGAGCTTTGGGAGTCCCCGAGGCAGAAGGGCTCACCTGGCACCGGCAGGTGTAGCAAGGGTCCGGCGGGGCCAGCTCAGACCCCAGCAGGCCTTCTGTGCAGTTACTCAGCGCTTCTGTAAAGACAGGGACTCAGCGTTGGGGGTGGAAGGGGGAATCAGGGGGCAAAAGCCCACTTACCCACTGTGTCCCCAGACTTTCTAGGCCTAGGCATACTCATATGCCCAACACCTTGATTCCAAGAGGATAAGTCCTCTTTCTTCTGGGGTCAGCAAAGAAAAGGTTGGACTTTTTATTTTTTTTAAAGATTTTATTTATTTATTCATGAGAGACACACACAGAGAGAAGAGAGAGGCAGAAACACAGGCAGAGGGAGGGAGAAGCAGGCTCCATGCAGGGAGCCTGATGTGGGACTTGATCCCGGGTCTGCAGGATCACGCCCTGGACTGAAGGTGGCGCTTAAACCACTGAGCCACCGGGGCTGCCCCAGGTTGGACTTTTTAAAAAGAACTTTGCAGACTACTAGGGTGGAAGGCCTGGAGATGGACAGGGTGTGGCTTCCTTAGCCGTAGGCTTCACTACGGACCATCAGGACACCTTGTCTGCTTCTTCAGCTATTTCCTTTCCTATTACCTGGTTAAAAAGGGCATGAGGAAGCAGAGCCAGGTGGGGACCCCAGGTTCTAGTCCTGGCTCCAGCATTGAGTGCCTGTGCCATTTTGGGCAGACTAATCAACTTCTCTGAACCTCAGTTTTCTCATCTGTAAAAGTGGAACAATACCCCTCAGTGGGCAACAGAGAATTAAATGGGATACTGTTTATTAAAAGCACCAAGTACAGTGTCTAGAATGCAGTAGATGCTTAATAAATGTTAGTCTTCTCTCCCCTTGAAGCACATCCTAGCAAGTGTGGGTAAGAACTGTTCCCCATCCCTGTGGCCTCTCTGGTCTCCCCATTACTGCTCTCAAGAAACCAGCAGCGGACAAAACTCCTGCCTCCATCGCCACCTGCTGGGCAAGATGCTCCACAAACTGTGCCCGGCTTCAGAGTCCAGGAATCTCCACCAGTTTCCCCATTTCTCCCTAGGGTGGGGGTGGTAGGGTGCAGGCCTCACCTGCCAGGGCATGGGCTTCCAGAATAGTCCATTGGACTCAGGTAAGGGTGAGAGCTAAGGCTGCAGAGGAGAGCTGGCTGGCTCTTCCAGTATCACTCTAAGAGTGGCAGTCCTACCGTCTTTTCTACCCCCATATCCCGGGAACTCACGGGCACACGTGGGGCAGCAGTGCTGGGGCCCAGGGGGCAGGAGCTGGCTGGTGGGACAGCCCACCAGGCTGGGACACTGCCGCCGGTGACACTGAATGCTGGGGGGTCCCTCAGGCTGCAGCTACAAAAACAAGTGAGCAAAGGTGGGTAGGTCCCAGGCCCTGAAAGCTGAGAGACATCCTCTTTCCCTGGGCTCCAGGCCCTTCCATCTGTCTGCTGCGCCTCCTCCTGGATATGTCTTGGGCAGGTTAAACTCCAGTGAGGCTCCCCATCTCCCCAGGGTGCCCCTCACCCCATGCCCTAATTCCCAGAGGTGACGTCCCCTTCTCTCTCCAGTTACTTGGGCCTGAACCTTCATGTGGCTGTTGACCCTCCTACATGCCATTCTCCTCCCCTGCCTGCCAAGTCTCCACACATAGGCCACTGCACATCTGCTCCAAATGGCAATTCCCTAACATGCCCCCCAACCACTTCCCAGGTGTCTCCCCTACCTCCCATACATACTCACCCTACACCCCAGCCAGGAGGGCTTTCCCACTGCCTGCCTCCCCAACTCCCCACACTTGGTGCCCATCCCACCCCACACTTCCTGGCCCTGCTTAGCTCTTCACTCCAAGTCCTGCCTCACCTTCTGGCCACAAGGGCACAGTCCTGTCTCTGACCCCCACAGTGCCTGCTCCCCACAGGGTCCAGGCTGCCCCCTTGATGTTGCCGTCACCCACCTCACAGAGGCATACTTCACACGGGTCTGCCCCAGGCTGGAAGCTCTCCCCTGGTTCATACTTGTGGCCCTCATGCTCACAGTCTTGGGGTGGGGGGCAGAAGCAGAACAGGACCAGGGAGGCTTTAGGCTGGCAGGAATGCCAGGGGGCAGGGTCCTCTGTCCCTGCAGTGCCCCCCAGCTCCAGGGGTGTGTGTGCAAGAATGGGGCTCACTTCTCCTAGAATAGCCCGTCTCTGCCGCCCAGCCCAGTTCAAAGGAGGGAGATGTTGACCAGGGGCTGCCTCCCTGACTTCCCTCACCCGGTCCCCAGGCTCCCAGTACCAGAGCATCGTGGGCAGCAGTCACTGAGCACTTGGTGGGGCTGGGCACAGGAGCTGATACACTGGACGCGGGCACAGGTGACAACGCCCTCATGACACATGCAGGAGGAGCAGGGGCTCTTGGGGTGCACCCAGCTACTGCCTTCAGGGTGCTCCTCCCCATGAGCCAGGCAGCCTGCATCCCAGGTGAGCAGGGGTGAGCTCTGAGTCTTTGGTTCTGCATATATGCCCTTGTCCCCCCAACCCTGGGTGGTCAGCAGGGCATGTGGGTGCCAGGAGGGGGATCTGCACAGATGTGGTAGGAAGGTGGCCTGGGGCAGAGCTCCTGTCTTGGTGCAAGGGAAAGGCCCGGGGTGAGGGTCAGAACACCTGGGTTCTTATCCTATTCCGTGCATGCTTGCTTGCCAGACCAAGGACTACAACAAATAGGAGCCCAGTACCAGCAACGGTACCTGGCATGCAGCAGGTGTGTAATAAGTGCATGTGGAAAGAATGAAAGGCTCCATCGCTAAGCATGTGCCCAAGGTAACAACCTCTCCAAGCATCAATCTCCTCACCTGTTAAATGGGGATTTCATCTGTCTTGCCTACCTCAAGAGCACATGAGATGCTGTGACAGTTCTGTGGAAGCTATACCCTGCTGAGCAGCGTTCGGGGCAAGGGCCAAGAGCAGCCTACGAAAGGCTCATATTCTAGTACCAGACAGTGAAGATGTAAATCCTGCCTGCCACCTACTAGCTGCATGACCACAGGCAAGTTATATGTTATCTCACTGTACCTCAGATTTCTCATCTGTAAAATGAGAATAATCATAGTACCTATCTGATCGTGTGTGAGTTAAATGAGATATGTGTCAAGTGCAGAGCTCAGACGCTATGTGCTCAACAAAAGTTAATTGTCATTATAATGATGATGAATAGAGTGTGGTTACGAAGCGGAGCAGTTTTGAGGGGGTGATGGTCTGGCCAGGCCAGGGGCAGAGAGAGGAAGGAAGAACTGAAGACTACCAGGGAGGAGCGCTCAAGGGCCAAGGTGTGGCAGGGCCAGCAGGGCAGAGGGCGGGGTGGGGGGCAAGGGAGAGCTAGGAGGGCAAGGAGGGGCAGGTACAGGGCATCAGACCCAGGGGCAAAAGCATGGGGGCAGCCACATGGGGCCGGGCATACCTCTGCAGCGAGGGCAGCAGCTCCCTTGCTCCGTGACCTGGAGCGGGCAGGACAGATGAGGGCACAGCAGCCGCACACAGCTGACCTGGCCAGCCTGCAGGAGATGTGGGTTCCCTGACCTGCCCCCTAGGCCAGGTACCCCAGAGGCATTGTGGGCCTGCCCCCACTGCTACCCACTGTGCTCCCTCCCTGCCTACCTGACAACGACACTGCTCACAGCTGCCTGGGGGCCCCTCAAACTCTTCCCCGTCCCGGTGCTCCTGGCCCTGGGAGAGGCAGTCTGTGGGAAACATGTTTCCTGGGCAAAGGGCTATGCCACCTTGCCCTGTGCAGCCTCAGGCCGGTAGACACAGGCGGGGAGGGATGAGGATGAGCATAGGGTGCAGGGGGAGACTGGGGCAAGTGGAAGGCAGCTCACTGTGGCAAACAGGGCAGAAGCAGGGTCCTGGAGAGGGGTGGGGGCAGAGAGCCGGAGGACATGGCTTCTTCTGGCAGCGCATGGAACCTTCCTGGGGGAGAGAGGTCACACTGCCACTTCTTGACTCCATGTCTCACCACCTCAAATGAGGCTACACACTGCCCTAGGGTGAGGTGCCCGTACTGAGCCTGCCAGGCTCCAACCCCCATCCCTTGGCCCAGTTGCCTTCCACCAGATGGTACCCTGTGAGACGGGGTGGGAGGAAACAAGGCCTTCCTGGACAGAGAGGAGGATTGAGGGATGGAAGGTTACCACGTTTCCAAAAGGCCACCTCACCTGGCAGGTGCAAAGGGAGCAGCTGGGGTCAAGTGGGTCAGGAAGGGTCTCTCCAGAGGCTGCAGTGACCCCATGATAGAGGCACCCTGGCAGAGGAGGAAACATAAAGAGCAGCCATGAATGCAGCCTTCCATGGCCACACATACAGCTGGGCCCCGGGACCTCCACCAAAGCCGACATAAACGGGAGGCATCAAGTGCGGCCTGCAGCAGCCACCAAGGTGAGGGTTGGAAGAGAGACATTGCCTGGCTGCTGAGAGGGGCAGGCATGACGGGAATGAGGACTGGAGGTGGGATCTAAAACTGCTGGCGAGCTTCTGTCTGCAGGGCTCATGGGCAGAGGAGGTGAGGAAGGGCACTCCTGGAAATGAAGGCAAGAGGTGGGCTGGGCTCAGGATCATGGGCAAAAGAGGCCAGGAGGGAAGGAAGCTGCCCCTCGTGACTGGTGACTCTAGGGTCTGGGGGCCACTAAATGGGTGGAGTCTGGTGATGTGACATTTGAGGAAGGTGACGAGACAATTAAAGAGCAGGAAGTTCTGGAAACACAAGGACCAGTTTTAACAAACACAACCGCTGGTCTGAGGTGACGGCAGGGACAGACAGGAGGGCCTGGGTGTGGTGTGAGGAGAGTACAAGCTGTGGGTTTGCTGTGTGGCTATCTCAGGAGAGGGGGGACTCTAGGCCCCCCAGAGCGCCAGAAGGGGCAGGAAGGGCAGGTGCTGTCTTACCCTGGCAGGTCGGGCAGCAGTGTCCAGCTGAGGTGAGCGGGTGGCTGCAGCCCGGAGGCTCACAGGGCCGGCGGCCACAGGTCACATAGCCTCCGAGGCAGGTGCACAGATTGCAGGGCTCTCGGGGATCCGGGAACTCCTGGCTGCTCAGGTAGGACTCCCCTAGATACTCACAACCTTCAAGAAAGGATGGGGAGGGGCAGGCAAAGGGCAGAAAGGGAGAGGGATGAACAGTCCTCGGCTTCCATTCCGAGCTTGGGCCCTTGGGCCCGAGCTGGGGCCTCAAAGACACAGCAACTTGTGGGAGGGAAGGACTCGAGCCAGGCAGGGGAAGGGGGTCAGAGGAGTCTGGCGTGGGGGGACTGGCCAAAGGGCCAACTTCCTCCCTTTTAAGCCTGCAATCTATTGGGAAAGACCCACACAGAATCTGTCCCTAAAGTTAAATACCCAGCAGGCCACTGCCTGGCCAGAAGGCATCAATGTTCCCAATCTGAGAGCTAGAAATAGCCCAGGATGGCTTGGGAGATATGGTTCAAGGTATCCTCTTTCCATTACTCTTTCAAGCCCTCTGATTAATCAGAGACAGGGAGGGATCCTGGGGTGTTGGCAGCCTTGACCCGAGCAGCTTTTTGACTCTTGCTGACCTTTTTAAAAAGAGAGGGCACTTCAGGTGATAATGATGTGTCGTGTTGGTTCATCAATTATAACTGCATCAAATGCATCCCTCCAGTGGGGGATGTGGATAATGAGGGAGGCTGGGTGAGGGGCCAGGGAGTATATACAAAATCTCTGTACCTCCCTCTCACTTTTGCTGGCAACCTAAAACTGCCATAAAGAAAAAAATTAAGTCTTAACAGAAAAATAAAGAGTCTCCATCTCAAAGCCTTGGCAGGCAAAAGTGTCTGACTCGAATTTAATGTTAAATGTTTAACTGTATTAATATTGATGGTAATCTTCATTCCTGGCAAATCGAATTCATTGACAGTATGATATAAAGACTCTTTTCTAAAAAGTTTTAAATTTAGGGATCCCTGGGTGGCACAGCAGTTTGGCGTGGAGACCCGGATCGAATCCCACGTCAGGATCCCGGTGCATGGGGCCTGCTTCTCCCTCTGCCTGTGTCTCTGCCTCTCTCTCTGTGTGTGTGTGTGTGTGTGTGTGACTATCATAAATCACTAAAAAAATATATATATATATGTATATATATAAAGATTTAAATTTAAAAGTTAATTTGAAGAAAGACAGTTAACTAAATAAAATTATAGGTGATAGAGGGGTATGTAGCAATATTGCTAGGCTAGTACAAGAATGACCAAAGACTGGGAAACTGGATCTTGTTCAACTGTCTCTTTTTTATAGGAGATAGAGCTACATTTACCAATGGTTAAGGTAGTAAATTTTATGTTATGCGTATTTTACAAAAATACAGCTTTTTAAAATGTATTTTTTAATTAAAAAGAAAAAGTAGGCCCAGAGAGGTTATGTAACTTGTCCGAAGTCACACAGCCAAATAGCATCAGCTGTTTTTGTTAGGTGATAGATATGTGGGACCCACTCTAGGGCAGTAAAGACTATGCTGGCCCAGCCCTCCCAGCCCCTCATCCCCGCGGTCCCCTGCCCCTCACCATCACAGGCAGGACAGCAGTCATCCCTGGCAGGGAAGGGACACTGAGCAGGGGCACAGGCCCTGGGTTCACAGCTGACGCTGCCCTCCCAGCAGAGGCAGACGTGGCAGGCGGCAGTGGGCGAAGGGAAGCGCTCCCCGCTGGCAAACTCCTTCCCCTGGTACAGGCAGCCTAGGGGGGCAGGCGAGGAGGGTAGGAGCGGGGGCGGGGGTCGTGGTGGCTGTCCCCCGGGCCCACAGCCTCCCAGGCCAGGCGGACTGGGCACTGTCCCCCCACATGCTTAGTGAGAACCCCGACGTGGGAGTGGTGGGCTTGGAGGGAGGGGGATGCTGGGCTGGCGCAGCGTTGGGGGCTGGAGAAAGGGGGGCACGGAAAAAGAGGGGACCAGGTAGGGCGAGGCTCCCTCCGGGGCAGAGTTGGAGGGAACAGGGGACGGGGGCGGTGGGGGTGCCGCCGAGGCGTTACCGTCGCAGGAGGGGCAGCAGGGTCCCCGGCGCGGGTGGGCGCAGGGCGCAGGCGGGCAGGGCAGCCGCTGGCAGGACGCGGAGCCGTCGAGGCAGAGGCAGCGGCGGCAGGGGTCGTCGGGCAGGGAGAAATGCTCCAGGAGCCGGGCCGGACCCCCGCCCCCCGGCCGCGGGCAGCCGGAGGAGGGCACTGCGGGGAGAGCGCGCACGTCGGGGCTCCGGGAGAGCTGCGGCGGGGAGGCGGCCCCTCTCGGGGTTGGATCGGCCCCGGGGGTGCGCCGCCTACCGGGGCACTGCGGGCAGCACTCTTCGGGCGGCAGGACCGGCTCTGGACAGGGCAGCGGCGGGCAGCGGCGGGCGAGGCACCGCACGCTTCCGCTCTGCAACGGGCGGGCGCGCCGGGCGGCTTAGTGGTGGGAGGCAGAGGACGTCCCCGCTCCTTCTGTCTCTGTCGGCCACCTTGGCGGACCTCTCCAGGTTTCCCAAGTCCCACCCCTACTCCCCTGGACCCCTCCTCCCACCCGGGGCGGACTGACCAGACAGTGACACTGACGGCAGGGGTCAGAGGGGTGAGGGAAGTCGGCTCCGTTGGGGTACTCTTTCCCTCCGAAGGCACAGCCTGGGAGATGGGGCAGCTGTAGGCCTGGGAGGGGCCCCACTCCTCCCTGGTATGCCACCCTTCCAGCCCTTCCAGCCCTTCCAGCCCTTCCAGCCCATAGATGGGACCAACCATCCAAGAAGACCACCCCTCCTTCTCCATCCCATCCACCTCACCATTGCAGTTGTTCTGGCAGCAGGGCCCAGGCAGAGGGTGGGCACAGGGGGCCCTGGGGCAGGCCCGAGGCTGGCAACGGGCATGGCCTTCCCGACATTGACACTCCTGGCAGGGGTCCCCGGGGTGGGAGAAGCTCTCGCCATCCACAAATACTTGTTCCTCCAGGATGCAGTCTGAGCATTGGGGTAGTGGAAAGGGCAGGAGAGTGGGGCAAGGATTGACAGTTCTTGGAGTGGGCTGAGAGCCCATCTATCCTTGGAGTCCAGAGCCACTGAGGAAAGGTCACTAGGAAGCACCATGGAGAGAGTGGAGGAGGAGTCTGTATATTGCGAGTGTGGCTATCTCTCTGAGCACACACGTGTGTGTGTGTGTGTATTTGAGCCCATTCACCTGCAGGCATGTGTGCATGTCTCCGAGGGCGAAAAGCCAAGAAGCTCATGCATGCATGTGTTTGTGATACATACCCTGACACAGACTCTCCACGAGGGCAGGGCTCAGGTCACATTGCATGCCAGCAGCCAGCCTCCCACATGCCAGACCCAAATGTTTGTGGCATGAACCTGCTTTATACTGATAGATACACAAGTATATCTGACTGGTGGGGGTATTGGGAAGAGGAAATAGAGTCGGAGGGAAGGATCGTATAGTAACATAAGGGATAAATAAATCTCTACTCTCCCTCCCACCCATACCCTGTGAGATCCAGAGAGTTCCAAGCTGTGTCAGACTGGAAACAATCTGAGAAGGCTGTTGTTTTCTACGGTATCTGCCAAGCCCATGGGGCCATGGGAGCACTGGGTCTAGGGCCCAAAAGCCAGACAGGTGTAAGAAGCACATACCTGGGCACCTGGGACAGCACTGGCCAGGTCCACTCTGGGGCCTGGCACAAGTTGTGGGAGGGCAGTCAACCAAGGAGCACCTCACAGTCCCATCCTGGGAGCAGGGAAGAGGGCAATGGGGTCAGGCCCCAGGAAGGGCTCAGCAGGGCAGTGGCAAGCCAGAGGAGGTACCTTGCAGCGGCAGGCATGGCAAGGGCTATCTGCATCTGTGAAGTTCTGCCCATTGGCATACACTTGGCCACGGTAGGTGCAGCTCTCACAACTGGGACAGCAGGCACCTGGGTGGGGCAGACTGGTCAGAGCCCAGCTAACCAAGGTGGGCTGGACACAGCAGGGGAAGAAAGCCAGATCAGGGAGGAGTTCTCACCAGGGGGCTGGGTAGGGTGCTGGCAGGGAGCTGGGGAGCAGAGCACAGCCCCACACATGGGCACGCCGTCATGACAGGAGCAGGCCGTGCAGGGCTGGCCAGCAGGCTCCCACTGGACCCCCTCAGCAAACTCCTCTCCATCGAGAACGCAGGCTGCAGCAAGGGGGGGCTATCACCATGGCAACCTGGACACCTCCAGCCATCCCTGACCTCCCCAGGCCACAGGACCCTGGCTTTGCCATCCCCACGGTGGCCTCTGAGCACACACTGGAATGGTTGGTGGGCCCAGCAATGCCCCCCTTACTGTGAAGGAATGCCCTTCCATCTGCAGCAGCTGGAAGCAGCACTCCTTTGAAGCTGCCCCTACCTCTCACCCTCTCCACATACCTGGACAGAGCTGGGGGCCAGAGGTGGGCAGTGTGCAGGGGGCAACCAGGCACTTCTGCTCCTCACAGGAGACCTCGCCAGCCTAGGAGGGACACTGGGTGAGGGTCCTCAAGGAGTGAGACAGATCTGGGGTGTGAGAGGGAGAGACTGCTACCTGGCAGGAGCAGCGGATGCAGCGCCCACTCTCTTGGAGTCTAAAGGTCTCCTCACTCTGATACTGGTGTCCCTGGTACTCACAGCCTGGATGGGAGGACAGGAGGACCGGGGGACAGAGCTGGAGGATGACAGCAAAGTCTCACACCACCTCGAGGCATCCACTCTGCCTCCTGATGCTCCAGCCTCCCTGCCTCCAGGATCAAGGGTTCCACCCCTGGGGTCCAGTTTGTCACAAGAAGGTGAGGTGGGAACGTGACCCTCGCCCATGGTGACAGGGCTTATCAAGGACTTCTCCCATCCTACAGTCCAAGGGGGCTTCCCATAGGTCCAAACGCCTGCTCCCACCCCAGGGGCCCCTCCTGGGCCAGTGCTCAGCCCTCTCCTGGTGACTCAAGTCCCCAGCTCACCGTCACAGACTGGGCAGCACTGCCCAGGGGTCCTGCCTGGGTATCTGCAGGGCACAGGCGGGCAGGGCAGAGGCTCACACTGGACACTCCCATTCTGCCAACAGGGTCTGGTCAGCATTCGAGAGGCAGGCTGGGAAGCCGGGCCCTCCCTGCCAGGCAGCCACACTCACAGCACAGCGGCAGTGCGAGCAGGGGTCCCCAGAGCCCACCGGCTCTCCGCTGTGGTACTCCCGCCCATTTAGGAAACAGCCTGTTGGGGAAGAGGGTACCTCAGACCCCTCTCAGGAACCCCACCGCAGCATGTCATGGCCTTCATGGGAGACTGGGCCGGGCCAGCCGTGAGTTTTCTGGACCCCCACTCCAGGCTCCCCTCGCCGACTCACCATCACACAGCGGGCAGCAGGTGCCAGGCAGGGGCCGTGCAGGGTATGGGCACAGGCTGGCACACTGTCGCTGGCGGCACTGAATGTGGCCCTCCTGGGAGGGGGCAGAGGAAGTGGCCATTAAAAGCGGCAGAAAGAGCAGTTGAGTCCTTGCGATCCACTTACTAGATATTGTTATGGCTTAAACTGTGTCTCCCCAAATTCATATGTTGAAGTCCTAACCCCCAGCACCTCAGAACATAACCTACTGGGACACAGGGTCGGTGCAGATGTAATTACTGGTTAAGATGAGGTCATACTGGAGTGGGGTGTCCCCTCCAATAACTGTCCTTATAAAAAGGGGAAATTGGAACACACACACACACACACACACACAGACACACACACACAGAGCAGCATGTGAAGGGGAAGGCAGAAGCCAAGGGACACCAAGGATTGCCAGCAAACCACCAGAAGCTAGGAGAGAGGCCTAGAACAGTCTCTGTCACAGCTATCAAGAGGAACCAGCCCGATGACACTCTGATCTTGGACTTGTGCCCTCTTAAACCACAAAATGATACATTTCTCTTGTTTAAGCCAATCCATTTGTGGCCCTTTGTTATGGCAGCCCTTGGAAACTAATACAGATGTTTAACCCAGATATTACTGAAGCTCTCTGTGACTCAGTTTACCCATCTGAAAAAAGACAATAATAGTCCTGTCCTCGTAGCCTGTTATGGGAATGAAACAAGATATGGTGTCTGATGTGATAGCCACCTCTGGAAGCTGCCAAACAGTAGCTGCCGCTACTCCCCAGAGCTGTTCCCAAACAGAGACCGCCCCTTGAGTTCACCACCTGCATCGAGGCTAACTATGGTCAGTCCTATACGTGGGCAGCCAGTGATTCTTCTCACAGGTGTGAGCGTGGGTGGTCCGTGTGAACAGGGTGGGAACGCACATGGGTGCAGAGCGGGTGGGTGCCCCCTGTCCTGCACAGTGGAGTCCTCAGTTCTTAGGAAGCTGTCAGGGAGCTCCGTGGCTCTGGCTGGAAATACAGCCCTCCTCAGTATGCGCCCTGCCTGGATGTTAGGCTTCCACGTCCCTCTGCTGCTTCCACCCCCAGGTTTTGCCTGGACTGTTGTTCCCCACACCTGGTGTCTTTGCCCATTCAGGTTGCTGTAATGAAATCCTATAGGCTGGGGGACTCACAAACCACAGAAATCTAGTTCACAGAGTTCTGGAGGCTGGGAAGTCCAAGATGAAGGTGCCAGAGTGTCTGGTAAGGACCTGCTTCCAGGTTCCTAGACACCTGTCTTTTCACTGTGTCTTCACATGGCTGAAGAGAGGAGGAGCTAGCTCCCTGGGGTCCCTTCTACAAGGACATGAATCCCATTTATGAAGGCTCCACTCTCGGGACCTAAATATCTCCCAAGCCCCCTCCGCTTCTAATACCATCACCTTGGGGGTTAGGATGTCAACATAGGAATTTGAGGGGGGCACAAACATTTTGGAGCGTCTTTTCCCATTTCTCCCTGCTTAAATTGTACTCACCCTTTAAGATCTTAGGTAAACACCACCCCTCCCATGAAGATTTTCTAGATCTGTGCTGTCCAATAGAAACATAACACAAGTCACAAGTCACTTCAGATTCCCTAGTAGTCAAATTTCAAAAAGTAGAAAGAAGCAGATAAAACTAAATTTTAACATATTCCATTCAACTCAATATATCCAGAAGTTATTTCAATATACAATCAACATAAAGCATTAATGAGATATTTTACATTCCTTTCTTTCCTACTAACTCCTTAAAGAGTTAGTATTTAACTCTTTAAAATCCCATGTGTATTTTTCACTACAGCCGATCTCAGATTAGACGGCCACATTTCAAGGGCTCAGTGGCCACACACAGTAATGGTTACAGACTGGACAGCACAGTTCTAGACGTCTCCAGGTACTCTGCATTTCTCTCTTCCTGGAACTATTCCTGCCTGTCATATCCTGCCCTCACTCCTGGAGCTCGCAAGCTCTTTGAGGTCATTCACAAACCCATGCTGCATTCCTACTGTGCTCAGAACTTGGCACGCAGACAGGCACAGCCCCGTCCCAGCCTTCACAGTGCCCAGGGTCTGGCCTTCCCCAGCTCTGTCCTCTCCTAGTGCCTATGGGATGTGCCCAGTGAAATGAAGGAATGAATATGGTGGGCCTGGGGACAGGGAAGGGGAGGGGTGGGGGAGCAGTGGTGGGGCTTACCAGGCACTGGCAGATCTGGCAGGGGTCCCCAGGGGCAGTCCACTCCTGGCCATGCTCCCAGCGAGAGCCACCTTCCACACAGCCTGGGGTCGGGGTGCAGACGGGCAGAGAGGAAGCCTGGTGGGAGCCAGCCTGGGTGCCAGCTCCAGCCTGCTCCTACCTTCCTCCACATGCCCTCCGGGCCTCCTGAGCCCCGACCACACCAGGTCATGCCTCTGCCTAGACTCCTGCGGACTCCCAGGGCCCAGCATGGCCATGCACACCTCCCCTGCTCTCGGTCTTCCTCATCTCTCACTGTAGGCTTTGGCCATTTGCGCGGGCTTGCACCTTCCCACCTCACACACATCCACTTCACACTGTCAGTCCTGCACCTTCGTGCAAGCTGGCCTCTCTTCCTGGAATGCCCTAGCTGACTGCCCATTATCCAGAGGGTTCACTCAGGACATGCTGTCTCCAGGACGCTTTCCTTCCTGTGTCCAGGCTGGATTAGGGTTCCTTCCCCTGAGTTTCACAGTACCTGGCACCTGCTTCTCATCCTGCCTTTGCCATGGTATTGGTGTATGACTCAGCGTCACCCCCTAGTGGTCCACCTGGAGCACCCACCCTGTATCTCCGTGCACATAGCATCTAATAATTACGGTCAACATTTATCAGGTGTCTAGTGTCATTATCCACACCAATGGGGACCTGAGGCACAGAGTAACTCCCTCAGAGGCACACAGCCATGAAGTGGCAAGGGCAGAATCAGCCCGGGCGTGCTCAGCTCCAGAGCAGGCTTGATAGGGCATCGCTTCTCCACTGACCAGCCCCCCCCCCCCCCAGGTCAGAGCCAGCAGAATGGGCTCAGGGGTTGAAGAGATGGAGCGACAGCCCTGGGGTTCCAGGGCAGGAGCAGGGCCCTTACCTCGGCAGGTCGGGCAGCAGCGCCCAGGCCTCAGGACCAGCTCAGGGCAGGGGCTGGGCGGACACTTGACAGGCACACAGTGAACCAGACTCCTCTGTAATGCACCGGTAGCTGTAAGGCCACCGGGGCCGGCTCCCAGAGAGGAGATGGGCAAGGGCCTGACATCCTTGGGGGCGGGGCACGGGGCCGGCATGCAGGTGAACCTCACCAGCAGCAGGTCTTGGAAGGTGTATGACGGGATGGAGGAGCAGCAGGTATGGCCCAAGGTGGGGCAAGGAGTATATAAGAAGGAGCAGGGCCTGGACAAAGGGCATGGGGACTCACCAGGCAGGAGCATTGGAGACAAGGGTTGGAGCTGGACAGGAAGTTGGCACCCTCTTCATAAGGCTGCCCCTCATACTCACAGCCTGGGGAGGGTTGCCAGGATGACAGGCTGGTCAGCAGAGAGCAGGGTGAGTGGACATCACCCGGGGAAGGCATGACCCCAAGTAGGTACTGGACCCTCAGGGGCTGAGGGGGTGGAGGCGCGGGGCAGGGCGGGAGGTCACCTGGCCGGCAGACAGGGCAGCACTCCCCAGGTGGGGTGTAGCTCTCCAGGCAGTTGAGCTCTGGGCATGAGGGCCTCTGGCACCGCACGGTCCCTGCCTGCAGGGCAAACACTGAGCCCTCCCTCTGTCTCCACTGCCCAAGCTGAGTTACTCTGCTGGCCTAGCGGGCCTAGCAGGCTGTAGGCCTTGACGCCTGGGGGGTGGCAGCAGCTCTGTCTGGCCCCCAGATTGGGGGCCAGGCCTGGGTAGGCCGGGCATCTGGGACGTGGGTGGTGGCCGGGCTAGCCTCTGATTCCCTTACCTGGCAGGTGCAGATGACACAGGGTTCTGGTTGCCACCTTTCCCCAGCTCTGTGACCTCCAGGGCAGCCTGCAAAACCAGGCCGGGAGCTCCATGTTAGAGACCCATAGTACTGGAGCCAAAGCACCTCCAATGGTACCACATCACAGGGTACCATTCAGGCAATAAACAGAAATTTTTATAATTACTACAACTTTCCAGCAGATGGCAGTCAATTGTCTAACTCAAACATAATTAGATTTCCATTATTTTACAATAGATAGAAGTGTTGAGGAAAGGGTGCCTTTTTTTTATATATTTCTTTTTTTTAAAGATTTTTAGTTTTATTTATTTAATCATGAGAGACAGAGAGAGAGAGAGAGACGCAGAGGGAGAAGCAGGCTCCATGCAGGGAGCTTGACGTGGGACTCAATCCTGGGTCCCCAGGATCACGCCCTGGGATGACGGCATTGCTAAACCACTGAGCCACCCGGGCTGCCCCAAAAGGGTGCCTTTTTAAAAATCTTCACCAAAGATATCAGATGAACTAGCAGTGACCTTAAGGCACCACGTATCCTGAAAGCTCTATGTGTGTGCATGTGCGTGTGTGTGTACGTGTGTGTATGTGTGTGTGTGTCCCTTTTCTTTGTGATCCATCAACTCCCAAGACTCCACTCCTCATCTCTGGCCAGGACTCCCCAGACCTCACTGGTCTCCTGAGCCCTTGACCCATCCTTCATACTACTAGCTGTATCTCCCAGCAGAGCCACAGCCTCCACCTCCTCCCACTTCTCTTCATGTCACTGGCACCACTCACTGCCTTCCTAGCCTCCCACTATTCCATGGGATCTAACCAGTCCCCAGCTCCTTCCTGGACTTTAGAAACACCCTCCCTCTGCTGCCACTGCCATCCCTGGCTCCATGCCTAGACGACTACTGTACTAGCCTGCTAAACGGTCTCTCGCATCTAGCCCAAACCAGATGAATATTCCTAAAACACTCTTTTAAACAAGCCATGCTGGTTCTGCAGCCTTCAATGGCTCCAACTGCCCACAGAAGAAAGTACAAACTGCAGGGCTTATAGCAGCAATCTGTTCCCACTGGGCCTTTCCAGACTGATTTCCTACAACACATCTCTCCCCACCCTGTTCTTGTGTCCAAAGGGCTGTTAAGTGCTATCTCATTCTGGTGAAATCTCACTTTCCCTTGAAGATCCAGCTGAGATGACCCACTGTCTGTAAAGCCCACCCTGACACGGACTTGAGTGGATTCCCCTGCCTTCCTGCCATCCCCTCTGGCAGCTAACCACATACTGCCCTTCTATAGGTCTTTTTTTTTTTTTAAGATTTTATTTATTTATTCATGAGAGACACACAGAGAGAGAGGCAGAGACACAAGCAGAGGGAGAAGCAGGCTCCAATGCACGAAGCCGATGTGGGACTCGATCCCAGGACTCCGGGATCATGCCCTGAGCCAAAGGCAGACGCTCAACCACCGAGCCACCCAGGCGTCCCTCTATAGGTCTTTTAATCTAGTCATCGGATCTTAAATGTTGTGTTATATTAGCTATGGTCTTCTCAACTATGTTAGAAGCTCCCTGAGGGCAGGAAAAAGATCATACAGAGGTTCTGGATCAGTCCCAGGCCAGAGTCAGTATTTGCTGACTGTGCTTCAGTTTTTTGAGTTTTTTATTTATTTTTTATTTTTTTTAAAGTTCTTTTTTTAAAAAAATTTTTTTTATTTATTTATGATAGTCACACACACAGAGAGAGAGAGGCAGAGACACAGGCAGAGGGAGAAGCAGGCTCCATGCACCGGGAGCCCGATGTGGGATTCGATCCGGGGTCTCCAGGATCGCGCCCTGGGCCAAAGGCAGGCGCCAAACCGCTGCGCCACCCAGGGATCCCTTGAGTTTTTTAAAAAATATTTTATTTGCAAGAGCAAAAGAGAGAGAGACAGAGAACACCAGCGAGGTGAGGAGCAGAGAGAGAAGCAGACACCCCACTGAGCAGGGAGCCTGAAACGGGGCTCGATCCCAGGACCCCAGGACCAAGACCCAAGCTGAAGGCAGATGCCTAAACACCTGAGCCACCCAGGTGCCCCTGTGCTTCTGTTCTGAAGTCGCCAAACTACTGCCAGAGTGAGTGGGCAGGCAACCTGTGGCAGGTGGAAGGTAGCACGCAATGGCTCTGGGGGCCCCAGAACGAGTGCAGGAGGCTGACCTGGCTCACAGTGCGGACAGCATGCTCCTGGCTCTGGGCAGGGTCCTTCTGGGCATGGTTTCTGGGTACAGGTTATGGCTCCTTCCTGTGGGAAAGAAGACCCTTGGCTGCACAGACATCAGAACCCAGGAAGGCCTGCCTCCAGAACCAAAAGCTCACCCTAGGCCTGAACATAACAGAGGAGCAGGAGGCCAAGGCAGCTCAGGGTACGTGGGTTCCCTTTGGTCCTAAGGCAGAAAAGAGACATCCTACCCCCACCCCCATCATCTTCTGCTTCTCTTGACCCCCAGAAACCATCTCTTCCTGGTGCTAGCAAGTTTCTAGAATGGAGAGATCCTAGGAAGGAAACTGAGAACTTCCTCAACAGAGAAGCGAGGAAGGAAGGGCTGGAAGAAGGTGGATGTGGAACCAAGTGAGGGAGAGGAGGCAGGTAGATGACAGGGACAGATGGATGAGCAGGGACAGGGAAGGGCCACAGCTGAGGGGGCGATGTAGGAAGATAAGCAGCTCCATCCCTTCTGCCCTCCATGCCACTGTTTGCCAGGCCCAAATCAGAAGGGGGTTGGGGTTTGAGCCACTTGGAATCAGCCAGAGCCACTGGTGGCAAGGTGTTGGGGGCGGGGCAGGTGGACCCCGTCACTTAACTTCCAGCATACCAGGCTGCAGTGATGCATAACTTAAGTGAGGCAGGTAAGGGGGACAGATATGTGATGTCTAGGTGGGTCACGGGAACTCACCAGGCAGTGGCAGGTGGTGCAGGCATCTGGGGAGAAGGTCTCCCCGTTGCCATAGGCCTGACCATGGTGGCTGCAGCCTGGGGAGGAGACAGTGCTGTCACTCAGGCACTCACAGCCATCCCTTGGTGTCCTGGCAGGCAGATAGGGCAGCACTCACCATGGCAATGGGGCAGGCCGGGCTTGGGCTCACAGTGCACAGCCCCATCCCGGCACACACAGACTGTGCAGGTGTCAGGCTCCCAGCCAGCACCCTCAGGCCAGGCCCGCCCCAGTCCCCGGCACTGGGGAGAAGCTGGGCGGCGGCATTCACAGGACTCCAGCTGCCTCACCCTCGCCTGCAGCTCCTTGTTCTGGGGGAAAGGGGTAGAGGGGAAGGTAGGAGGTGCTGGCTCAGTTCCCACCCAACCCTGCTTTCCTTTAACAACACAAGACCTAAAAACAAAAACAAAAAAACCCACAAGACCTGCCTCCCCTGCCCACACTCACAGGCCCCCAGCAGTACCTGCTCTCCTAGGGCCATCATCTGGGCCTCCAGCCTTCCCAGCCGTTCCTCCAGGGGGCGCCACTGCTCCTGGGGGCCCCCAGCAGGGGCTGAGGAGTGGGCTGGCTCCTGCTGCTGGTAGTCCTGGATGTCAGCAAGCTCAGGGGGCTCCCTGAGGATGACCCCACCTGAGGGGTACAAGAATCCAAGGTGGGCCTGTGGGTAAAGGGCTAACAAGGTTTCCTGGGTCCTGTCTTCCAAACCATGCAGGGGAAGAGGGTCACCCTGTGCCCTACCCTGTCCACCTGCCCACCCACCTTCCAGAGAAGAGATATGGTCTGTGAGGGTGCTGGAGTGAAAGCATGGAAGAAGAAGGGAGAAGGTGGACAAAAGTCACCCAGACCAGCTTTCCCAAGTAGCAAGAACTTTTGTCAGGTATCAGCCCCAGGGACCCTGACCTGCTGGGGACATGGAGAGACTAGAGCAGCCCGTGCAGGCTGCAGCCCAGGAGAGGGAGATGCTGCATGAAAGGCGGGGCTGCTTTAAGGGGCCTGCGGTCTCATGTGAGCAGACCTGGCCCTCCAACCCCCTGTTCTCATCCTGTCCTCATCCTATCAGCAAAGGCACTGCTTCCTGAGAATGTGCACAGGGAGGGACAACCGCTCCCTCCGCTCCACCTCTACCCCGCCCCCAGCCTCGCCACTATTTCTGGGCCTGTGGTGGAGGGGTTTGCGGATCCCACTTTGGGACCCCCCACTCTGCATCTGACAGAGGTTCTTGCTGCCAGGCGCGGGTAGCCTGACGCTGAGGACATCCCATAGCCCAGATCCTTCCTCTGGGTGAGGGTGGGCAGTGGAGGGTCTGGATAAGGAAGAGGAGGGAGAGGGGAAGGTCTTTCCTACAGAGGCAGCTCATTAATGAGGCCAGGCCTGGGGTGGCTAAAAGGGTTTCTCGCAGACACCAGTCCTGTAAGGCAGAGGCCGTGTCACCCACTCCCCACCCTGGCTTCTCCAAGCAAGGACTGGAGAGTCTAATTTGAAACCTAAATTGTCTTCTCTCTTCCAAACCTGCTTTGGCCTGCCTGAGTTTCTTGTCTTGGTTGCTGCCATCCCTACGGACTCAGAAATCTGGGGCTCAGTTTCCCTCTTGTGTACCCCCCAACGCATCAGCCTCTGGTCTCACTCAGTTGTCCTCGACCCACTCCTCCTTCTTCTCTCCACTCTCTCCACTCGGGAGGCTGAATCAGAGGCGTCCTGTCCTCCCTGCCTCCACCTGCTCACCTCTGGCATCACTTCTCTACGTCTGATAGTTCCCAGCGGTAAGTCCAAATGTGACCTTTTGCAAACGCCACCCATCTTTTTAGCCTGCCCCGCTACTCCCCACATCTGGGTTCTAACACCCCAACAAATGCCGGCACCCAAGCCTCTTGTGCACATTCCCGTCGCCTCCCTTTGCAGGTATCCTGTCACCGGGAAGGTGGTATGGCTCCTGTAGGGGGCGCGCTTCCCGGCCCCCTGCAGGGCGGCTGAAAATGAGGTCTCAGCACCATATACCCTCCATCCCGACTTGTCACCCCCACCCCCTCGGTCCCTCCTCTCAGGCCACTCCTCCAGGCCTACTTAAGCAGGCACAATAAGGGCGTCAGGGAGAGGGTGGGGGTCCTTTGGGACCCTCAGGGAAGAGAGGCCAGCCGCTTGCCTGGAGATGGTTTCACAGGGCCCGACTGCTCCCCAGGGAACTGTCCTCGGCGGCTCCCCTGCCCCAGGTGCCTGCCAAGCCCTTGCACCGACCCCTCTATTCCGGCCCGAGCCCCCTCCCCCAGGAGAAGGCCAGACTCAGGTCAGCCCCCAGAGCGGGCCTCCTTCTTCCCCACTTTCTCAAGACAAATAATTAACTTCAGACTCCCAGATTCCAGGGCAGCCTCTCCCCCACCGCTGCCTGCAGGAATCCCTCCCGAGCCGCGGCAGGAAGCCCCCCGCCCCCGCCCCGGGCCTCAGCGCCCCGCGCCCCCACACGGCTCCGGCCCGACGGGGAGGACCGCGGCGGCCCGGGAGGCGCTCGCCCCGCTCCTCCCCCCGGGCCCCCGCCCCGGCCTTGGCCTTCGGCGCCCCGACCTACCTCCGCCCGCCGCCGCCGCCGCCGCCGCCGCCGCCGCCGAGGCCAGGGCCAGGCTCGTGAGCTGCAGAACGAGGGCCAGCGGCGCGGCCCGGGGCCCGGCCATGCTCGCTCCGCCTCGCCGCCTGCGGTCGCGGCTCGCGGGCGCCGGGGGGCGGGGTGGGGACGCGCCAGGCCGCCTCCCACCGGGCTTTGTTCAGGGAGGGCTTCTGCTCCCCGACGGCCGCCGGGCGTCTCCCGCCTGCGGTCCCTGGAGGGGGACAATGAACCCTGACAATGAACGCTACTGCATCCCTCTGAGGCCCGGGACGGCGGGTCCTCCGCCCCCCTCCCCTTGGGGCCACTCCGTTTGCCCTGGGGTTCCCAGGTCCGCCTCCTTCCTGCTCACAGGAGAAGAAGATTGTGCTGGGTTCAAAACCCTACTCGGCCAAATCCCTGTGCCGTTAAACAGACGCCTAATCGTGCCTCAGTTTCCCTGTTTGTAAACTGGGGATTACAACTTCTACCTTACAGACTGGCGGTGCAAGTATATAAATAACTTAGGGTAGTGGTTGGCACATGCTAAGTGCTCAGTAGAAACAACAACAGCAAAGGTGCTGCTCCAGGCCTCTGAGATCTCCTGCTTTCCTCCTCTTTTGTTCCACCTATGCGTTTCCTTCCTGGACTCTACCCACCACCCCTACCCACCCCAGGAACCCCAGGCCCTAAATGCCAAGGCCTCCCTTTGCTGGCTGGTCCCAGTCTATTCTCCAGTTCCTAAACTCAGGCCTGGGGTGGGGAAGAGCCAGGACTGGGGGCAGGGCTGGGCCGTGGGCTCATCCGGCAGAGGCATCCAATGGGAGGAAGTGAGGAAAGCTGGCCTAGAACTTCTCAGTGCAGCTGGGAAGCAGGGGGGAGCAGGGATGCCGTCCCCCCCCCCCAGCCCCCGCCTCCCCCCCCCACCAGCTCACAGGCAAAGGGACTTTGAAGGTGGAGCCATGAATCCTGCCAAAGCAGTCTCCCTCCCTGCTGTAAAGGCCAGCAAGTCAGAAGCCATCCTTCCCCCATCCAGGCAGGGGTTAAAGGTCCCCCTCTCTGCTGCCCATTCCCCATAAGCGGGCAGCGTCTCTCCCAGGAGTGTGGACCCTGAAAAGTGCCTGAGCAATTGGCAGGAGGATTAGGGGTGGCCTCAGCAGATCTGGAGCTGGGCTCACAGGAGCAGGGGGAGGCTCGGGCCAGCAGACCAGAGAAGAAACAAGGATGTGGCATCTCTAGTCTCACCAGGGTTAAAGAAAATGGTGCCTGTTATAAGGCAGGTCCCCTGGGAGACTGGGTGGAGCAGAGGCTAAGAGCAGACTCTGGTGAGTCCAAATCCTGGGTCTGATGATACTTTCCACTGGTGACCTCAGGCAAGTCATTTAACTTTCAGTGGCTATTTTTTTCTTAGCTGTGACATGTAGTTCTAATAGCAAGCCCCATAGAATGTTTTGTGAGCTTACATGAATTAATGGCTGGAAAGGACACTCAGCACATTCTTCATTTGCAAGAGATGGTAGAGAAATTTTTTAAAAAAGATTTTATTTATTTATTCATGAGAGACATAGAGAAAGGCAGAGACACAGGCAGAGAGAGAAGCAGGCTCCATACAGGGAGCCTAATGTGGGACTCAATCTTGGGTCTCCAGGATCACACCCTGGGCTGAAGGCAGACACTTAACTGCTGAGCCACCCAAGCGTCTGGAAAACTCACTCTGAAATAAAAACCCAGGGTCCTGAGGAAAGGGCATTTGGGGAGGCATTTGAGTTCCACTGTGAGTGATCATCGTGAACCTCTTTTGTGCCAGGCATCAAGCCAGATACAGAGATATAGCAATAAACGAAACATGGCCCTTCTTGGAATGCTCCCATGCAGGCCAAGGGAAGGGGGGCCTGGGGTCCCTGGCAGAGGAGGAGTGTGAGTGTGAGTGTGGAATCATAGGTGCACACAAGTGTCAGGCTTGGAATACAGGGTTCACGTTTCTCTGCCAGATGCAGCTGTCCTGACTCAAAGCCAGCCCATTCTGTAGAGGAGGACATTCTGGCCAGAGAAAGCAGGAGAGACTCAGGCTTGAGTCCTTTCTTGGCAGGATGGCCCCACATATAGAGTGGCATGTGGGAGCCCGGGGGGGGGGGGGTTGTAGGCACATCCATGTAGGCAGCCCATGTTGCTATGGAGGGCAGGAGAAGGACTCCAGGGTTCAAAGCTGGTGGGTTCTGAGTTCAACTCCTGTTCCACCCTCACAGTCCAAACTGGTTGGTCTCCATTTCTCCCCACCCCCATTCCTTCTCCTCCCTCTCAGCCCCTACAGACTTCATCTGCCTGGCTTCCTGTTGGGTCAGCCCCCGAGAGCCACAGGCAGGGCCTGGGAGGCAGGAGAGGACAGTGGTTGGGGATATTTCTTCCCTCCTTCTGCTCACCTGGGCTCTCAACACCATTCCTTCTCCTTGTCCTCTCCACCCAGGGATGATGACGACTTCCTGCTCCTCTTAGCCCTCGGCCTTCAACACCCCTTGTTGATTCTCTTACCACCAAGTCTGCAGGTATCCTGTTTTCTCCTGGGTCCTCAACCAGTGTGCTAACTTAACTACTTATTCCACTAAGTTACCCCAACTCCCTAAGCTGCAATCTTCCACCTATACAATGAAGTAACTGCAGGAGGGGGGAGTTCGATGAGGATATGTCCCTGACGTCTGCGTGGCGCCTGGCACACAGAACAACACCTCAACGTAGGTCACCTCCCAGATATTACCTGCTTCAGGCTGTACTGACAATAGCAGCAGGTTGGACTTCTCTCTGGATTTGCTGGCTGGAAGCAAAAGGCCATTATGAGGAGGGAGGGACAGAAAAGATTTGTAAATGATTCATTTTTTGTACTTCATTTGCTATCTTTCAAATCATACCAGTTGCAATAAATGAAATGAGATACTACGAAGATAGGCAGACAAAGCTCATCGCTACATCTGCCCCTTCCCTTGCCCATCGACTCTCACCCCCAGGTGACCATGAGTAACACATGGATGTTTTTCCATACCCTTCACCTGGCTCACACAACCATGTGCAAGCACGTATACACCATGTGATTCATTTGGAGATGGGATTTTGCAACAGGCTGTGCAGGATCTCAGCCCCCATCCCCACCCCGGCAACCCTTGCCAGCTCTCCCCTGGGTCAGCAATCTCAGTGGCTCCTGTCCCAGCCTCCCAATTCCCCCATGACCCTCACTCCCCACTCATAACATCGTGTCCTACCCCAGGCCAAGGTCACCCCTGGCTGGCTAGCTGAGCTGCCACAGCAAGTGGGGAATGTGTTGTTCCTCATAGATCTGACATTCAAATCTCACAACTGTACCCTGCAGCCTGGCAACCCCTCCCCCAGATTCCAAATAAGTAGCCCACCAGTTGCCCTCCAGGAAGGTTCTTTGCCTGTTCTTAAAATGCCTGCAAAGGTCCGCCTCACGATGCTCCAGGCTCTGTGCCAAGCTGTGGCATGTCTACCCGGCACAGAATGCCAGTCCACACACTTGACTAACACTGCTCGCGGATTAATACTCACAGTTGGAATACTTCCTTGTTGGATTGAACCCACTGGGACTTTAGGAGTGTGTGTGCACTTTTTGTTTTGTTTTTGGCATAGAAAGACTGATGCCATCTGATTGCATATCTGAAACCTGCAGCAGAGCAGGGGACTAGGGGATGGGCAGAAGGTTTCCAGGTACCCACACAGGGACCGCCAAGCCTTGAGGTTCTCCAGCCTGGAGGGGAGCTTGCTCATCATTTTTGTGCCTATCCCCGCCTAGCGTTTCTCGTTTTTTCAAATCTCTTTTTCTCAAAGACTGACCCCTGGGGATCCCATTAGGGCTTGGAGAGCTAAGAGGGTGGAGGAAGAGAGGACGAGATACATAGATACTGCTTCCTGCCGACAATCTCCTCTTCCTCCTATCCACCCATTTCTTTTTATTTTTTTTAATTTTAATTTATTCATGAGAGACACAGAGAGAGAGGCAGAGACCTAGGCAGAGGGAGAAGCAAGCTCCCTGCAGGGAGCTCGATGTGGGACTCGATCCCAGGACCCCAGGATCACGCCCCGAGACAAGGGCAGACCCTCAGCCGCTGAGCCATCCAGGCTCCCATACCCATTTCTCTTCTTATCCCTCATGGCCTTGACAGGCAAAGAAACTGAGGCTTGTAGAGTTTAAGCAGCCTAAGCAAGCTCGCTCAGCTGGAGAGTGGCAGAACCAGCACTGCACCCCAGCTCTGACGCCTAACCACTGAGATGTCTGCTTGCTCTTCTCCCAGCGCCCGTGACTCCTGCACAGGGGGATCTTCTGCTTCTCACCAGTTCTTCTGCAGCGCTGGGAATCCATGCAGTTACCAGATTTAGGCATGTTCTCCCCAGGACAGAGGGCTGGGAGGACCCCTCGGGCAGGTCCACTTTGCCAGCTCTGCTCCTCCTCTGCTTTAATCCCAGGGTATGGGCATGGAAGTTGCTTGGCAGGAACCAGTGGATGGGCACATACAGGGGTCTCTCTTTCCACTGCCTCAATCTTATTATAAAATCCAAGGATTGGGTTGGGGGTACTGAGTCTCAGAAGTTCCTTTGGCCCCTATTCCTGTGATCCTGGGTCAGAGCCCCAGAATTCAGATCCCAAACAAAGGCAAGGCATTAACAGCCAGATAGAGGCTTGTGTGGAGAGGATACTGTCTACACTTGCCCAGGGCCTTCTGCTTTGGGTTAGCCCAGAACCCCTTGGCCATTCTCTTAACTCCCTTGGTAGTCAGGCTCTGAGACACAGGCGCTTGCCTTCCCACATAGGCTGGCCAGAGGAGACATTGTCTCACTGGAGTTTGGGCCAAGACTGGCCAAGGGGGCTCTGGTCAAGCAACGGGTCTCACCCAGCACCATAGCCCAAGCCCACAGTTTTAGAGAAAAACAAGACCAAGGACAGGGACTGAGGGAAGGAGAATGGTAACTCTTCCTTCCAGGTAATATGAAGAGAGGGATCAGTTGAAGAGGGAGAGAGGCCAGTGCATCAAAACCAGAGCTGGGCCATCTTAAGACACCAGATGTCCTGGCACCTGGTAGTAACCTCAGTTTCCCTTTTTATGTTTTTTGTTTTGCAAACAGCTTTATTGAGATATAATTCACATATCATAGACTTACCCATTTGCAGGGTACAATTCAGAGCCCACAAGATGGCAGGGGCA